AGCAGGGCATGCTCCCTGCAGACCTGTTCCTGCTTCCGTTGTGGGGGGGATTTCTGGGGTGGGGAGCGGGGCTGGGGGCAGGAGCAAGAGGGATGGGGAGTTGGCCTAGGGGGAGTGAGGGAGGAACGGAGTGTGATGTTCAGGGACTGGCACATTTATAAGGTCTTGGGGGTATCTGTGCCTGCCTGGCCCTGCCATTCCTGCACCCCCGGCTACTGCTGCTGGGGCAAGAGGCAGCCACTCCACGGATGCTGAGGAGTCCCGCAGGGCCCTGGCTGTGCTCGGAAGTGGGAGTGCCCCATAGCGGCAGGGGCCGGGGGCTCAGAGCTGACTGGTTGGGCATTGCTCAGCCCCGTTAACCCGGTCTGCTAGGCCACGCCAGCCCCTTCTCTCGTCCATCCACCCAGCTGCTGGTGGAGCAGAGAGGGGCTGCCGGACAGGCACTGTCCTAGCATGCTGGCTCTTGGCCCGGCTTCTCCTGTGTCCGTTCAGCTGGGGCAGGACCTGCAGCCAGCAAGGTGGGGGTGAAGCAGAGGGATGCCCAACCCTGCAGCCTTCACCCAGCTCTATGGAAGGGGAGAAGGTTTGAATCCTGCCTTCGAGTGGGCCTGTCCCAGCCCTGCGCCTCCGAGCTCCTGCGCTCAGGCCCAGTTTCCGAAGCAGCCACGTTTCCGGTGCCCAACTTCAGAGCTGGTTCTGGGAGGGGCTGAGCCCCAGGCCCTGAGTGGGAGCTGGGGGTGCTCAGCTCTGCTGTGAATCGGGTCCAAAGGTGGTGCTCCAGCTGTGGGTGTTTTAAGTGGCATGCAGCCCTGGGCACCTAGCTCCTACGCCTCTGCTCCAGCCCCTAGCACAAGGGACGAGGTTGGGTCTGGGTTTTGCCCCCCTCCTAGCGAATCCTGAGCGTGGGGTCCATGGGGCTGTGCTGACCCCCTGTAAGCAAACTGCCTCTGTGCTGCGTAGAGACCAGCTGGCGTCCACCTGAGCTACAATTCAGTCTGGCTGCTCCTGAGGGGCTAGAAACCCCTCACCTGCACTAGCTGTGGTTGGCGGGCAGTTGGGGGATGAGTCGACCCCTCTGTGCTGCTCGCTGGAACCCAGGCTTGTCCAGAGCAGTCAGATAAGAGCCAGGCAGGCAGCTTCCCAGGCGCCAGAGTGCTCCCGCCATGGGCAGGGGCAGCCCGAGGCGCCTACAACTCTCACGGTGCATTGATAAGAGCAGGCCAGGATCTACAAAGCAATCCCCCAGCTGTTCCCACTGTCTGGCCCTGGGCTTCAGGCTGGGCCCTTTGCCCGCTGCAGCAGTGGGCAAGGCTGCTAATCCAGTCTTGGGGAGGCAGGCGTGGGAACCATGCTTCCTTGGGAGGCCAGGGCTCCATGCCAGCTTCTGGCAGGGCGTGCTGTGAGACCTGGGCTTGGTACGTGTGTCCCCGAGATTCAGCAAGGCACCTCCCTGCCTTTATCTCCAGCCACCTGCTGTTAGCGCCCCAGCCCTGGGCCGGAGATGGCCACTCCCCAGCGGGTTGGATTGGGTTACGCCTTGCACAGAGCAGCTCCCAGCTGAGCCCGGATCAGTCTGGCCCAACCCACTGAGGCCAGGGGTAAGGGAGGGAGCAGCTTCCCAGCAGGTCAGTGGGTCCCCCCACAGCCCACTACGGTCTTGGGTCCCAGCTTGAATCCATGTGGTCCATCCCCAGCAGGACCATCCCTGGTCCAACCTTCCTCTCTGCAACTATTCTCTGTCCTTGCTGTCTCTCTTCTCCCCCACAGCCCTTCCTCGAACCCTCTCTCCACCGAGTGCTCCGGGAGGCAGGATTTTCACCCAGGATTCAGCTGGGAGGGAAGCGAAAAGCTGTCGGATAGATGGGCGCCAGCTGAGCCGACCGGCCCAGTTTTAACCATCGGTTGGAATGACACCTCTTTAAACCCAGGGGCCTGCTTCACCACGGCCTGGTGCAGCCCTGAACGCCAGTGCAAAGTGGGAGTGAAATGCTTCCCTGCTGGCTGCGCGGGGCGGGAGATTCACTTCCTCATGGGACTGACAACATGAGGTGCTGGGAGCTGTGAAAATGGCCATGCTCCCCCCCCCCATGGATTCCCTGACTCCAGGGCTCAGCTGCTGCTCACAGCTGCACCCTGTAACCCTGCAGAGAGCAGAGATGAACTCAGCGTCTTGGTGGCAGTTGCACCACCTGAGTGTTAAAGAAGGGGAGGCAGCAACATTTGGGTGAACTCTGACCTCCCTGTGACCCCTCCAAAATCAACCAAGTCTTTACAAAGAAACCCCAGCTCCTTCCCCTTTACTCCTTAGCATTGGGATTGTGTGGAACAGGGGTTCTCAAACTGCATTGCACCACAAGCCCCTTCTGACAACAGAAATTACTACACAGCCCCAGAAGTGGGGATGGGAGCCTGAGCCTGCCCGAGCCCTGATGCCCCAGGTGGGGGGCCCTGCTGCGCAGGACAGGGGGGCCCAAAGCCTAAGCCGCACTGCCCCACACGGGGGGGGAGGGGGGCAAAGCCTGTAACCCTCGAGCTGTAGCGTCAGCCCTGGGTGCCGGGGCTCAGGCTTCAGCTTCGGCCCCAGGAAGTCTAACACCAGCTCTGGCGACCCCATTAACGTGGGGTCACGCACCACAGTTTGAGAACTGCTGGTCCGGAATGTGCAAGAGAACCAGAACCAGCTTGCTTCTGTGGGTGAAAACGGGCTCACAATTTGGGAGGGAAAAGGGGTCCATTTAAAAGGGTTTTAAAATGAGCTGGGTTTTTTTCCTGCATCAGACTTTAAAAAAAAGAAATAAACCCCACGTACCTCAAAGTAGCAAAGAATCCAGCTTTGAGAGCTTGTTTGAAAGAATGTTTTCCATAAGCCCACCCCATGGGTCAGCTCCTCAGTGTTGTTGCCAGCTCTCACAATTTGTGCGATATTGGGTGATTTTCTTAAAGCCCCAGCTCCTGGAGTCAGGAGAATATAGGATTAACTCAGCTTTCATTAAGAAGGAAATTTGCCATGTTGTAGTAGACTTCTTGTTCCAGGATATGAAAGAGACAAGGAGGGTGAAGGAATATCTTTTATTGACTCACTTCTGTTGGTGAAAGAGAAGCTTTCAAGCTTGCACGGAGCTCTTCTTCAGGTCTGGGAGCTCTGTGGAGCTCGAAATCTTATCTCTTTCACCCACAGAAGTTGGTGCAATAAAAGATATTACCTCATCCACCTTGTCTCTCGCATTAAAAAATAAGGACGTTTCTAACCCTTCTGCTTGCAGAGAAAAACTTGCCCCTGAGTGTGGCCCTGAAGGCTCAGAAATCAGAAGGCAAAGAAGATGACTCCAATGGGTCATGTTTTGATAAACTCTCATGATTTTAAAGTCACTGTCACAATTTTGGGGGTGTCTGACCCAGAGTTTTGCATGCTCAGGTCCGGCCATACAGAGCTCCACTGTGGAAGAAGATCGGTGCAGAAATGTCTTTCAGTGACTTGCCTAACAGGAAAACCTGACACAATCCAGCAACTCAAGGAGTCTGGCTGGGTTTAGTATCGCTGTTATTTGGGTTATACAGCCTAGGAGCTCCAGTCACGGCCCAGAGCCCCCCTCTGCTAGACACTGCACAGACACAGAACAAAGCACCAGCCCCTGCCTCCAAAACCTTACACTGCAAATACTTAACATCAGGCCAGCTGGTGCCGCCTTCCTTTAGCTCTCCTCTGCTTCCCCTTTTGTGATGGGTTTTTTTTCTGGCTGGTTCCCTGTAGGGAAGTACCTACAACTCAGCCAGCAAGGAGTGGTTGTCCAGCGGTTAGCGCAGGAGCAAGGAGTCAGGTTTCCGACGGGCTAGTTCTGACGTGTGGTGGAAGTGGAGCGGAGTGGTTAGAACAGGGAGCTGGGACTCAGGATCCGGGGTTCTAGTCCTGGCTCTGATGCTGTCTGGCTGCATGTTCTCAGGCGAGTCCCTGTCCTTGTGCTTCACTTTGTCCCTCTGTTCCCGGGGACAAGTCATGCCCCAAGCCTTGGTTAACGAATGTGTTTACGTGAAGCCCGTTGAGAGGCACCACTCAGTGCAGGAGAAATAGGAGGGTTGCCCAGCCGTTAGCAGGACACGGAGACTGATGGCACGTCAGGGCACATCTGGCAGTCTAGTGAGCGCATCCTCACCCCCCTGCCCCCCCAGCAGCTGCTGAACGGTCAGTGATGGGCTCCAGCCTGAAAACAAACCTGTCCTGGTGTCAGCCGGAGCAGGGCCATGAGCTCACTTCAGGCTGCAGCCGGAGGGATGGAACGTACCAGCCAGTGTGAGCGCTGGCAATGCAGACAAAGGCCCGTCCAACCGGGGCCACCCTGATCCTGCATATCCTCGCAGGGCCTCTGGGCCTGGCAGCGTGGTGAAATGGGACATGATGGAGTCGGGGCATTAGACCCCAGTGCAGGCGTGTTACAACCAACGCTAGGGACGCTGGATTCAGGCTGAGGAGCGTTCTAGGGTTAGGAGCCGTAGACGCAGTTTTAAGGGGATTGGCTTGTAGGGGCGTTGGATCCAGCCGGGTTTAGGTATATTAGCTTCAGGGGCTTTAGAGCCAGATCTCAGTGGATTAGAGGCTTAGGGGCATTAGAGGCCGATCAGGGTGCATGATAGGTTTAGGGACATTAAATCCATGATTGCAGAACTGCTGCCCAAGGCACCTACTTCACGCTCCTCCCTCCCCGGCAGGTGCCCAGATCCAGGTTTCAGAGTTTATTATTTATTCATTGTTTTTCCCTTGGGCCTGGCCCAGTGCCCGGCTCCTTTGGCCACTGGCAAAGGCCCCAGGTCCCTGCTCCCAGCAGAGGAGCAGCCCAGCTCCGGGGGGGCTGCAAGGGGGTGCCTCGGCGGCTCCCCCCCCGGCACCATACAAAGCAAGGGGGGGTGAGGGAAAAGGGGGCGCTGTCACTTTAAAGATGCAAATAGTCAGCCAAGAGCAACAGCCCCGCCGGCTGGGCCAATCAGGAGCCGCTCCTGTTTCCTTTTGTAACCACTACCTGCCCACCCGCCAATCCCGAAGGGGCCCCCGCGCGGGTCCCGCCCCCGCTCCAGCCCGGCCGGCGGCGGGGCGGGCAGGCGGCTGCAGCCCGAGCCGGGGCACTGGGTCCGGCTGCGCTCGGCGCCGGGGCTCGGAGAGGTGAGTGCGCCCTGCCCAGGGGCCGGGCTGCTGCTGCGGGCCCCCCCTCGGGGCCCGGTCGGGGGTGGGGGTCCCCCCGGAGGGCTCCCCTGGGATCCCGCCGCTCGTGACCTGCCCTCGCCGTGGGGAGCTGCCGCTCCTCTGATCCCCCCCCCATATAGGGGGCCGCCCCTCCCTTGTACGAGCCGACTGCGCCTCCCTCCCCGCGGCCGATCCCGCGTGGGGTCCCCCTCTGTGGGCCTGGCCGGGGTGTGCACGGGGGTGTCCTGCGGGGACCTGCTGCTCTGAGACCCCTGGCAGGGACTGGCCGCCCCGCAAACCTCCCCCTCAGTCTGGGGGGCAGGTGCCTGCCTGTCATGGGAAAGGGAGGATAAAATGAATTCTGTGTGGGGCCACTTTCCCCTCCCTCCTCCGGCTGGTGTCAGTGGGTGTCCGCCCTACTGGGGGCCAGATTCCCCCCTCCCCCGTTTGCTGTGGGCCAGATTTCCCCCCTCCCCCGTTTGCTGTGGTCCCCAGCCCCAGTGTGGGCCAGATTCCCCCTTTTCCACCCGTTTGGTGGCCGTGGGCCCCAGCCCCACTGAAGACAATAATCCCACCAGCTGAGGATCTGGCCTGGAAAAATCCAGTGTTTGTCATTAGCAGGCAAGGGCCGGGGGAGGGCGTGAGCCGAGCCAGGTGCTAGGAAGGTGAGACTGGGGGGGGAGCTCGTGTGTGTGTGTGGGGGGGGGCTGGCAGGTGCGTAGCTTCCCTGGGAAGACGCTTTTAATAATTTTTGCAGAGTCCTCTGTGGCGGCCCTGCGGCCGGGGGATTCGCTCCCGAGCTGCCTTAGCCAAGCCACCTGCCTGAAATCTTCCAGCCCTGCAGGTTCAAGGCGGCTGTCTGCGCTCTCGGGTGAAGGCCGTTGGATACGGGGACTCGGAGCTGGGCTCCCCCGTTGTCTGATCCTTGCAGCGGATTCGGATTTCTCATCCCACACCATGGGGGTGTGGAAGGATTTTAGTGTGTGTCGGGGTGTTCTTTAACCCCAACCTTACTTGGCGCGCATGCAGGACGTGATCCCGTGTGGGGTGAGCGGTTGCCCCTCGGCTGGCTTCAGGCGGGTGCAAGATGCCAGCGGGTTTCTGTCTGTCGGGGAAGGGGGGTGGGGAGAACGCCTTCCCAGGCAGTTGTCTCTGCTGAAGCCTGAATGACGGCGAGCTGTCAGGTTGTCTCCGTGCCGCGGCTTGCGTGTGGGAGAAGCAGACCCGAAAGCGCGCCAGCTCGCTAAGCGTTCTTCAGAGGCGCTGTTTAAACGTTCTGTTTCTCTTTCATCTGCCACGCACATGGAAGCACGCGCCGTTTGATATCTCTGACGTGGGGCGACAGGGAGCGCTCGCTGGATGTGGCTTGTGGGCGGCCGCCGGGAGCACTCGCTGGGGTGGGTTGTGTGCTGCACGCCCTTCGGAGCGAAGTGGCTCATGGATGGCCTGAGCTCTCCTTGCAAATGCACGGATCCTCGCCTTTGAATGAAGGGCTGACGCTCAGGTGGGTGGAAACGTTTCGGGAGGGGGAGAGCAGCTGCGTTTGTTGGCATCTGGCCTGGGATGACCCACGGTTTCCTTGACCCGTTGCCCCTGGAGCGAGTGGGGGCTTTGAGGTCCATCGTGCCTCCCTGCCCCTCTCGGGATGCGTCCGCAGTGACCTTCTTGCATATTTCATTCCCTGGGGTGCTCCAGTTGTCTGGGCCTTGTGCCCTTTGTCATCTCGGTTGATGAGGGTCCTTTGAGAGTCCGCTCCGTGACTGGATCCTGGGAAACACCGTTGCTGGGGCTGGTGCTTCAGGCTGGTGGGGCTGGCTTTGCTCCCTGCCCCTTTCTGACGAGCTCCAGTAATATTGCTCCGCATCTCCCGGCTCCCACCTGCTCTGGTGCCGATCCGAGCGGGGTTTGAACCTGCGATCTTCATCCCAGACCTGGGTGAGCCAAAGGGGTAATGCCATTAGCTGGTACCAGTAGTAGAGTGTTATCCTCCATGCACCAGCCACTAGAGGGCAACGTATTGCCCACTTTGCAAGCATGGCACATGCTGAGTGGGGAAGTGGGAAGTGCTGCCAAGTCTTGCTCTAGTCCTAGGCTGGTAGAGTAGTACAGGGCTGGCACGCAGTGGCTCCCAGACCGGGCCATCCATGGCTGTGGCTAAGGGAGGGCCCGTTTGCCTCCTCAAACATAGATGCTAGATCTGCTGAGAGCTCCGGAGCCCTGCCGGCCCTGGGCAGAGCTTTCAGGCCAGTTCTGAAGCCTGGCACCTTGAGCCATAAAGCTCCTAGTTTGGGACCGTCGATGGGAAGGGTTGAAAGCCTCGTGGGCCGCTTTGTAGGGTAGTGGAAAAGGGCTCGCTCTGCCGCTGAGAGCTTGGCTCTGCGCTGGGGCATGTTCTCCTATTGCAGCTTCTCCCTGTGCCTGGATCTGAGCCGGGGAAAACCTGCTATGCCAGCGACTGAAGGAAGCTGACTGGCAGTACCAGAGCTAGAGCCCTGGCAGGCTTTGTGCCCTGGCATTTGGGGGGGAGGGGCAGGGCCAAGCACTGCCCGGGGGCGGGGGGAGCTTCCTGATGCAAATTTGCTGTGATACCAGTTGCCCGGGGAGGTTTGGCAGCTGCTCCGGGAAGGGGGTGAGATCGGGGCCTGGTGTGCTCATTTCCTGCATCCACGCGGGAGGCACGGGCAGTGCCAGGCTGCTGAGACGAACGCTTGTTGTTTGTTTCTGTGTTAATCTGCTCCAGCGCACTGCCCAGTGCCCCGTAGGCCCAGCCCTGCGCATCTTCCTCTTGTGTCTTATTCAGGCCTTGCCCAGAGTGGCAGCCTGGCCTGGAATGACCCCGTGGAGCAGTGCAGCTTGTGTGGCTAGCTGGGAGAGCTAAATTCCTTCCCCAGCTCGGGCCCCCCCTCCCGGGGCAGGGCTGGGAGCTGCACAGCTGGGCGCTGGGTTCCGGAGACGTCTCCCCGTGGCTGTAACTGGGGCACCTGGAAAAGCAAAGGCAGGCGTGCGTTCGTGTGCCTAGAGCAGGGGCCTCGGGATCGGGGGTGCGGGGGGTTGGAATGCCTGTGCCCTAGAGATCAGGGCATGCCCGTGTGGGAGAGGATTCCTGGATACCGTTCCAGGCCCTGCCATGGACTTGACTGATTTCAGGCAAGTGACTTCCCCTGGCTGGGCCTAACTCGGCCCTGGCATAAGCTGGCAGGACTCTGATGGGCTCTAGGCGGAGGGATGCCTCTGGGAGCGGGTGGCAGTAAAACGGACGTAGCCAGCAGGAGGTCAAAGCCGTGGGAGGACACCGCAGTTTGTAGCTCTGGCTTGAGTGAGCAGGTGGCGGCGAAGGACGGGAGGGAGCTCGGAAGCCTGGTAAGGCGGGCGAGAGCTAAGAACACCCTGGTGGAGATGAGGCCTAAGGGCAAAGTTTTGGTTGGGTGCTGGGCTGGCTGGTCCCAGGGTCGTGGTGGAGAGAAGCCAGCGGGGTTAGGGGATCAGGTTTGTATCCCCAAGGAGCCCCAGCGATGGTCCCGGCCTAGCGACACCTGGCCAGCTTCCCCAGGACCAGCCTGTGGGCTTTGGACGAGGCCCCTGCTCGCTGGGGCCCCTTTCTCGCCCATCTCCTGGCCCTGGGTTAGTTTGTGGCTTGTCAGTTCGGCTGAGCGCCAGGGACCGGGGCTGGAGCGACCCAGGGCCGAGGAGCTGCTGGGCGGGGGGTGCTGGAGTTCGTCTCGGTGCCTAGAACTGCCGTGGCGGGGGCATGAAAGGAGCCAGCAGGAGGCGTCGCTTCCTGGGTTATGGCTCCAGGATGGGCTGGCAAGCAACGTGCCCCACTCCCCCCATCTCTGTCCCCTCCTCCTCTGCTGGGGCATGGGGACCAGGGAGCCCTCCAGCCAGCGCCCTGCCCCACCATCCCCTCGCGACTCATCCTAGGATGTGGGACGGTGCTGGTTTGAGCGGCCCCAGCTGGGGAGAAAGGACCTAGGTGTCCAACTCCCCAGCCAGGTGCACACAATGGGCCTGATGCACAAGCCCCTCCTTGAGAGCTTCTGTTGCCTATGGGAGGGGTAACTCAGGGACCTGCACCCACTCTGCCCCCCCCCCAAACTGTGCCAAGTACTCTCGAGAAGATACAAGTACCTTGAACCAGGTACTCTGCTCTAGAAGTCGCTGGGGGCATGTGGCGGGGCCAGGCCTTGGGCGAGCAGGGGGCAGCGCTCGGGGTGGGGACCTGGTACTGAGAAGGGCGGGGAGGTGGCTGGAGGGAGGGGTTATCCCCATGTTTAAGGCAGGCTCTGTGCTCCCTGCCCTGCTCTGCCTGGGCTGAGGTTAATGTTTACACCCCAACCCCTGATATCCCCTGGCCGGGGCGGACACGTCTGGGTCTGGGAACTCCCTGGGGGCCGGTGCTGCTGGACCCGATCAGGCTGCGCCCCCTCCCCCCCCCCATGTTTGCTTTGTTCCTTGCGCTCTGGGCCTTTTCTATCTTCTGTGGGTTAACGTTAGTGCTTATAAAATGGAGAGATTGGCAGCGCGGGTGGGTGTTGTGCAAGCTTCCCTCTGCGACAGTTTGAATGTACCCCCCCCAGCCCCTGGCAGAGCTCGGCTGATGCCCCTCAGTCCTGACCCACAGCCCCCTGCCATCCCAGCGCCCTCCGTGGGCTGGCGCTGTACCGGTCCCTAAATGCCGGGCTGACTCCAGCGGGTGTGACCCCCCACCCCAGCTCCAGGCTGTGTTTGCGCCCCCTGCAGGTCAGATCCTGGCAGTATGGGTCTGGCACTGGCCCTGGGGCACCCCAGAGGAGTCACAAGGCAGCTAGGGCCTGTCGATCCCTCTGACTCCCTTCTGTGCTGCCAGGTGACCAGTGTCTGCTGGGCCTGTGCTGGCGGACATGGCACCAGCGCCGACTGCCGCCCGTTGCCATGTGGGTGCCATACCGTTGCCTGAGCCACGCCTTGCCAGCCTCTGTGGGAGGTGTGCATAGAAGATCCCAGTTCGCCCGGCAAGGCGGAGGGGTGGGGGCATTGTGAGACCTGATCTGGGGGTCTTATGGCTCAGATGCAGAGCTCCAGGGTGCAGCCTGCGTTGAACTGCCCTGGGGAGCTTCCATCCCTTCTGCAGCCGGGGGCTGTGTCCATCCCAGCCTGTCGTGGGGGTTCCCTGCTCGTTGGTGTGTGCCGCGTTGCTGTGCGCGGTTAAACAGCCTCCGTCCCAGAGGTGGCTGCATTTCACCGATGAGCAGGGATCACGTTGGCCGAGGCGCGGGGGGAAAGAGGAGGGACTATAGAAATAGGAACCCTTTGGTTGGCACAGTGCCCTCCAGGCTGGGAATGGGAGCAGGCTCTGACCACCCCACCCCCAACAGTTGCAGCGGATCCTTGACACCCTTGGGACGCCGAAGCCCGTCAGAGAAGAGGGCTGGTGGAGTCATCCCCTCTGCCTGGCAAGGGGCTGTACAGGGGATGCCAGGCTGCCCAGCTCTTGGGTGCCATCCCCGCGCTGCCATGGGTGCATCGGGGAATCTCTGGCCCGTCTAGGATAGTCTTGCTTCAAAGCCCGTCCCCATTTGGTGTAAGGGTGTGCTTGGCTGGCGTCCCAGCATTGGCAGAGGGGCCTCTGGCTTCCTCCCCCTGCCCGGCAGGTGCCCCCTGTTGATTCCCGAGCCCACAGGCCGAGCAGGGCAGCGGGTTTGATCGATTTCCACGCTGGGTCATTGCTCCCAGAGTGGATTCCGCTCGGCTCCTGCCTGGGCCCCCCTCCCTGCTCCTGTGCCCGGCCCCACGTCTGCGCACGTGAGGCTGCTGTGGAGAGTCAGGGCTAGCAGGGACGGCAAGCCCCATCTCACTGGGTGTCTCCGGTAGAGCGGACGGTGGTGGTGGTGTGGGGGGGTGAGTGTGACTAGGCCGGAGGCAGCGGGGTGTGGTGGGTAGAGCATTGGCCGGGGACTCTGGAGCTCTGAGTTCTATTCTCGGCTCTGCTGTGTGACCTCAGGCAAGTTGCTTTCCCTCTCTGTGCCTCAGTTTCCCCTACCCGTTTTCCTCCTTTAGAAAGTGCCCTGAGCCCCGGGGATGGGAGGTGGTAAGTGTGTAGAACAGCCCCACATGTGTGGGAGGGGCAGACGTGGCTTGGGGGGGGGGCTGGCTCTCCGGGTTGAGACCTGCCCATTCGTGTCACGCATGCGCCAGCCAGACGAAAAGAGGAGCTGGGGCGCCAGGCTGGGCCGGGGACGTGGGCGGGGGCAGCAGGCACTCACAGGTGTTGGTTCTGCTTAACTGGCCTGTGGGCCCCCCCGGGCCCCTGCAGCGGAAGTGGTGCTGTGCTAACTTCTGGTTTCTCTCTCTCTCAGCAGCGCTGGGTCCCCCAGGAGGACAGAGCCGAGGATGAACCAGCCGGGACTGTGCGCCCGTCAGCGCTGGGTGAGTTTGGTGGCCCTGGGGGGCCCAGGGGGCTGGCCCTGCTGCAGATGGGGCCAGAGCTCAGCACCGGGGCAAGAACCAAGCAGCTTGCCCCCCGCCCAACCCAAGGCCCGAAAGAGAGAAGGAAAAAACTGAGCACGCAAAGATTTTCTAGTTTCCTGTTTTTCTCTCCTGCGCGGAGGGGGAGGGGGAGGCTGGGAGGAGAGCTGTGGGGGCTGTGACCGAGTCCAGGGGCTGGGGCTGCCCCCACGGACCGCGGGGAACTAGAGACCTCACGGGAGCAGGTGCTATGGGGGCGGTTACAGGCCAGCCAGGTGCGCCCCCACCCCTGGGCTAGAGGACTAGGGATCCGGCGGGCTGTGTGGGTCTCTGCAAAGTCGTGCCTGTGCATTGCCTTGTTATATGGCCCAGGGATCCCCTCTGTGCCGGGGGCTCCAGCAATCTGGCAGGCGCGGCTGGGAGCCAGGACTCCTGGGTTCTCTCCCCAGCGCTGAGAAGGGAGTGGGATTTAGTGGCTAGGATGGGGGAGAGAGGATTGGGAGTCAGGACTCCTGGGTTCGGTTCCCTTTTCTGACTCGCTCTGCAACGCCCTGCCCCGTGCCTCAGTTTCCCCATGGGGAAGGTGCCCCAGGCGTGAGGCGGTTTGGTGAGCGGCTGCCTGTGAAGCTCTGTGACACGGCGGGCGGAGGTGCTGCGGGAGCACAGCGGAGCCTCATTCATTATTCAGCCGCGTATCCGGTGTCAGTCCTGGCCGCGTTCTTCAAGCGTCCAGCCCCTGGGTCCTCGCCATAGTGTTTAGCACCTGCTCGCTGCCTGGTGCTGATCAGCCCTCCTTGTTGGCTTGTGCCAGCCCCGAGGGAGGCTCCCTGCGTGCGGGGACTCGCGGCCGGGGTCCAAAACCTCCTCGGGTTCGGAGAGAGCCACCCTGCACTCACCACCCGGTGCCCCAGGGCAGCGGCTGTGCCAGGACCAGAGCGGGTGTCTGGGTGGCAGGGCCGGCCCTGTTGAGGAGTGCGAGGACAGGGCGGCACGCGCAGACACAGCCGCTCTCTGGGCTCCAGCGAGTGTGGGATACAAAGAACGGCCTGTTTCCATGGCTACGGCAGCGCGGGGTCTGGGAGCTGATTCGTTTTGAAAAGAAATGTGCACCCCGTTCCAAAGCGCTGCGCCCCCGTTAGACCCTAGCTCTGCCCCCGAGCATCACGTGGGTGCGGCTGATCCCCGCTAGCCTTCGGGGAGGCTGGCCAGTCCTGCTTCAACTGGGGAAACTGAGGCACAGGGGTGCACTGACTCATGCAGGGAATCGGTGGCAGAATCCGAGATGGAACCCAGGTCTCCCGAGGTCTTGTCTGCAAGCTGCCCTTGTGAGAGGCTCTGTGCCTGGGGGGGGTGGGGAAACTGAGGCACTGGAACAGTTAATCATTACAAGTCTGGTAGAGCTGGGAATAGAACTCGAGTCTGGAGTCCCAGTTCCCTCCAGCTCTAACCACTAGATCCCATTTCCTCCTGGAGTTGGGAATAGAACCAACTTGCCTTGCTTTAACCGCTCGAGCACGTTCCCACCCTTGGAGGATTGTGTATCACACCCATTCCCCGGTGTCCCCGTGGGCCTGTCCCCTTGTCGTCTCGTTAAGCAGCTTCCCCCCTCCCCCGAGCAGAGATCTCTCTGTCCCGCCGTGCTCCCTGTGGGGCGTGACGGGAAGAAGCCTGCCTGGCATCACCTGATCTCTGTGTTTGCTCCAGAGGCCGGAGAGCTGAGCTGTGGGATCCGGGAGGGAGCGTCGTCCCGCCCAGCTCCAAGATGTCCTGTTTTGGGGAACATTTCTGGGTAAGTGTCTCCTTTGGGGGCGTGGGGGGGGGACACTCTGAGCTTTGCGATTCAAATGGAGCCGGGTTGTTCACACGCATCCTTGGAGGTATGGGTCCTGTCCATAAACCCCAGAGCTGAGCGGGGAGCAATTGCTGGGGAAGCTGGGGGCAGCCCAGGTGGAGGGAGAGCCTAGCAGGACGACATATCCCAGCGTGCATTGCTCCCCCTCCATGGCTCTGGTCTGCCAGGTTTGCAGCCCCTGGCGCTGGCATGGGGCTGGATCTGTTCCCACCAGACAGGGCCCTTCCCGCGGCGGAGCGCTGAGGCCCTGCTCCGGAATCGGATCTGCGTGGAGGACGGGGGGCTACGTTCCTTCTCTGGCTCCAGCTGGTGCCTGCTGCCTCCTTGGGTCCCGAAGCAGAGCTGGGCCCTGGCTGCGTCGGGTGGGTCTGCGTTGGGGTATGCGCCTGGCCTGGACAGTGGCTGGGGTGGGGCTGGCTTGGGAGGCTGCTGGACACTAGCTCTGGCCAGCCCTGGGAGATGCCCAGCGGGGGCCGTTGCAGGGACAGTTTGCCACCGCTAATTGATTAGACTCTCCAAGGCAAGACACCGGGATCTCGTTACTTGCCGGAAGCTGCTTTAGGGACTGGGGAGAGGCGTTTGTGTGCTGCATTTAAATCCCTTTGCCCAGTGGGGCCAGGGGAAGGCTGCATGCTGGGTTGGAGGGGTCAAATGAATTCAGAGGAAGGAGTGCTGGGTTGTTGGCCAGGCTGGGCACAGAAGAGGGAGGGGTGCAGAGCCAGGCCTGGACTCTGGCTGGCAGAATCCTGCAGGGCACGTGGCCAGAGTTTTCGCTAGCCTGATAACTGACCCTAAAGCCCCTCCCCAGGAAAGCTACTGGAGTCTCATCCCCATTACACAGCTGGGAAACTGAGGCAGTAATTTGCCTGAGGTCCCGCAGCAAATTGGTGGCAATGCTGGGAAGAGAACCCCGGAGTCCTGACTCCCCTTGCACCGGACTCCGTCTCCTAGGCCGCGCTGCCCCTCTGCCGGTTGGAAACGTGGGGCTGAGCGTCCCTGCTGCACACTGGGACTGTCCCTGTGGGTGTGGCCCAGGGGACGTAGGCTGTCCCTGGTGCAGAGCTGCGGGGAGAGGCTCCATGAACAATTGGGCTGTGGTGCAGCCCAGAGGCCGGGGGCCGTGATGGCCACGGGTCTGCTGGCCCCGAGTTCCCCGGCTTGGGTGGCTCTGACCATCTGGTGCGTTGTAACACCCCGTCTGGGCTTCCCCTCGCCCCGTCCACGCCCACTCTGCCAAAAAGGGGGATTTCCAGGCTCTCTGCTCTGGGGATGGATGTGTGTGTGTGGGTGGGGGGGTTTCTTTCCTCCAGCCATGGGAAGTTAGGGGCTCTCCACCTCTACAGCTCGCTGATGGGAAGGGAAACAGCCCTGGGAGGGCCGCGGAGCTGCCGAAATACCTTGGTGATGGATGCACGTTGTGTGGGGAGATGCGGGCCCCGCTGCTGCCCTGCAGGCAGTCACAGGCTAGGCCTGGCTGCGCTGGGGAGATTTCTAACCAGCTGGAGCCGTGATGGGGGAAGATCTGCCCCAGGTACAGGTGCAAGGAGCCCATTAGACTCTGGGTGGGGGTAGATGTGGAGAGAGCACAGATCTGGGAGCCAGGAGATGGGCTATGCTGCAGTTCTGGTCCTCCCCCGCGTGGGCTGCTCCGGTGTGGCTAGCTGGGGGCGTTGGCCTGTCCAGAGATTGGCGTGCCTGGTATGGCTGCAGGGCACATGCCCGCTGCTGCCCAGTCCACTGGGATGGGAGGGGGGCATCCCCCCGCCTGCGCATTGGGGGTGAGCCGTGAGCAGGTCTGGGTCGCTTCCATCTCTCGGGCCTGGGCTGGGTGGGCCTGGCTTGGATGTGAACCGACACCAGCCTGCTGCCTGGTCCGAGCGCGCCCAGCCTGGTGCCGCCTGCCTGCAGCCGGGCCTCACGCAGCGCCCGGGAAGTGTGTGGGGGGGTGTCTCCGTTCTTCCCCCCCAAAATGATGCCCCCTCCCTCGCGTTCCTCAAACCAGATCCAGTTTATAAGCAGGAGGGCAAAGTTGTAGCTAGGCAACCCCATCGCCCATAGCAACGGGACCTGGGTGCTGGTGCCAGCCCCATGCGCTGGTCTCTCCTTGCTGCCCCAACGGTCTGCCAGGCAGCTTTCTTAAAGCGACAGTGCCCCCTTTCCCTCCCCCACCCCCACCTGGAATCTCCAGAGGCAGGGGTGCAGGGCAGGGGGCTGCCAAGGACCTGGGGACCGGATCTGGGCCATGCCGACCGCAGCCCAGCTTGGAAAGGCTGCGGGGTGGATGGTATATGCCAGAGCTGGGCCTAGAACCCAGGAGTCCTGCCTCCCTTGCCTTACCTTCCTGCCTCCCACCTCTGCCCCGGCTGGTACACCCCACTTCTTCCCCGGCGTGGGGTGGGGTCAGATTTCCCCCATGTCCTGCGCTTCCAGCCTGTCTCCCCAGGAGCTGTGGCTCCCGCTTCATGGGGCGGGAACGGGCTGGCCACGGGCACTTGTGAGCTCACCCGCCAGGTGCCCACATCCCCCCTCGGTAACCGGCCCAGGATATGGGGTGGTCTGGATATGGGGTGTGTTCCAGTGGCATTGCCCACCCATCCCCCTTCTCCCCTGCTGCAGGATGTGGGCCCCCCCCCGACCCATGGGCATTTCATACCCAGCTCCAGCACAGAGCTGGGGAGCGCCGTTACCCAGGCCTCTTCCCTCCCTGCCCAGCCCTGGCCGTGGTGCCCGCCGCTTGGCCGGGGGGAGTTCCAGGAGGAGCTGAGGTAGCGGGAAGGTGCATCTGTACGATCCCCATCCCAGAGTGTGAGTGGGAGCCCTCCCAGCTTCCCGCACGGCGCTGGCACCACGTGCCTCTTGGAGCTTGGCACCGAGCAGGTGCCGGCCCCTCTCCCTGCACGGCACTGCCCGGACTCCTGCTTTTCTGCACAGCAGCTGTGGGGCAGCACCGCCCCCCCCACCCCACCAGCGTTGAGGGGCAGCCAAGTGGCTGGTTTGTTTACAAGAAGGCGGGGGGGCGGCAGGGGGCGGCTGATCTGGGGGGAGGGGTGAAATAGTCCAGGGGATCCTAGAGCTGGGGGAGGGCAGCCCCACGGAGGAAGTGCTGGGGAGGGTTGGCAAATGCCATCCTGCCACCTTGCCCCCCACGGCCGCTGCTGTGTGCTAGTGGCCACGGGGGCTCCCTGGCAAACGCTGAGCCGGGGGGGTGGGCAGAGTTCGGACTTGGGGAGCTGGCGCTGTGGATCGGGGGGAGGGAAGGCAATGGGCAGCGACTGGGGGGGGGACCCCCTGTGGGGTCCTGCCTGGCCTGTAGGTGCCCCTGCCCCTGAAGCCCACCGGAGAGCGCCTGGGGGCCGGGTCTGCCCCCTTCACCCTCTGCTCTCTGCCGCCTGCTGCAGGGAGAGAAGAACCAGGGCTTCGACGTGCTCTACCACAACATGAAGCACGGGCAGGTCTCCACCAAGGAACTGGCCGACTTCGTCCGCGAGAGGTAGGGCCGGGGGGAGGGGGTGCCTGGGCCCCCGCCACGCGGCGTGGCGCGTCCTGCCCTGGGGGTGGAGCTGGGCCCGCCAGGGCCCTGGGGCTGTCTCTGCCGTTCCCCGCCCCCCGGGCACTGCCCGTTCACTCCCCTCATGCTTTCCCCCCCCTCTGCTTCCAGGGCCACCGTGGAGGAGACTTACGGCAAGTCCATGGCCAAGCTGGCCAAGATGGCCACCAACGGCACGCAGCTCGGGTGAGTGAGGAAGTGAGCTGCGACGGGGGGGGCTGCGTGTCTGAGCCCCGTCGCTGTGTGAACCTCCTACTGCTGGAATACCCCCCCCCCAGCAGCATGAACCTTGTGGAGATGGGGGGTCCCCTCCCCTGTATCTTCCAATGCCCCCATCCGCTCCCCAATCCTGGCAGGGGGGGCACTCCTTTGGCCCCACTCAGCGCTGGCCACCGGGGGGTGCCGATGGGACCCAGACCCGGTGGCCCATCCCAGGGTGGCGCGAGGTCTCTGTTGGGGGACAGGGGTCCTGCTCTCAGCGCCTGCGTCTCCGCCCCGGCAGGACGTTCGCGCCGCTCTGGGAGGTGTTCCGGGTCTCCTCCGACAAGCTGGCGCTCTGCCACCTGGAGCTGGTGAAGAAGCTGCAGGACCTGCTGAAGGAGATCGCCCGCTACGGGGAGGAGCAGGGCAAGGCGCACAAGAAGGTACCCGCTGCCCCAGCTACAATCCTGCCCCTTACGCCCGTCGGGCTGCCGTCAGCGTGGCTGCCTGGGTGCCAGGCGCTCACCGAGCGGGGAGCCCTGCCCGGGCACCTGCCTGCACCTGGCTCTCGCTGGGCCCGTCACCCCTCGCCTGGCAGGCTGAGATGCCAAGGGCTGAAAGGGCCCGGAAAGCCTAATTACCCGCTCCCCACTGGGGGCGTCCCTAGGACAGGGGCATTTGGGGGGGGGGGAAGCTCCCCTGCCCCCCCACATCTCCAGGCCCCTCTCTTGCCCCCCCCCAGTCCAAGGAGGAGGTGTCGGGGACCCTGGAGGCCATCCAGCTGCTGCAGGGCGTCGCCCAGCTGGTGCCCAAGTCCAAGGAGAATTATCAGAGCAAGTGCCTGGAGGCCGAGCGCCTGCGCCGGGAGGGAACCAACCAGAAGGAGCTTGACAAGGTACTGGGGGTAAGGGGCTGGGGGTGGGCGGCTGGTGGCAGGGGGTCAGAAGGGGGCTGTGGCCCATCACTCGGGGGGCTGACTGGCATGGGCGGGCTGGGGTGATTGTGGCAGGGCAGTGCCCCCTTGACGAGGGGGGATTGCCCCGACGCCCGCTCCCCGTGGCAGGGCAGAGCAGCTGGGCCATCGCTCCCACTCCCCTTCTGTCCTGCCCCCGCCAGGCTGAGCGGAAGTCGAAGAAAGCGGCTGAGGCCCTGCGCCGCGCAGTGGAGAAGTACAACATCGCCCGGGCCGACTTTGAGCAGAGGATGCTGGACTCGGCCGTGGTAAGTGAGGAGGTGGGTGCGGGGGCAAGGACACGGTGGGGGGGGGGGCAGGGGCAGCCATTGGAGGGTGTGGGGGCAGAGGGCATCTGGCTCAAGTCTCATTCGGGGCAGTGTGGGGCTGGGAGGGGGGCACCATCCCGCAGGGGTCCAGCTGGGCTGGGGGGGGATCGCTGGGAGCTCCAGCCTCTGCACAGCTCACCCCCCTAACTGCTCTCTTTCCCCCCCACCCCT